GGACAAAGGAGAAGCGTTTCTTTCTTCTCTCTAGAGATAGAGTAGGCCAACATTAAAACAGCTCAGCTCACATATCGGTACAGAAAACTTGACGCATCCTGGCGGCCCAGAAAACACTCTCGTTGCCTTTGCTAGTTCAACTCAAATCTCCACATCGCAGCCCATCAAGACTTTCAGTGCAGGCCAAATTAGCACAATTACTTCTGAGCGACCAAACCATCAGGGCATGCCAAAGCAAGCCGTGCACGGGCAGACAGAACTATTTTTCAGCCGAAAACAATACAGAGATTGTACAGATTTTTAAGAGGGGCATGTTTTGCAGGTATGCGATGTGGAGCAAGTCTAGTTATTCAGTCACCGACCAGGGGGTAGTAATGATAGGAAAAAGACTCGCCTTTAACAGGAATCTGAGATAAGCAACAACCTACTCTCTCACATCCTCGAACTAAAACAATTCTACTCTCAGGCCATCAACCTCGACCGCAGAGGAAGTTGTTCACAGGATTCAACGGTGAACAAAATGATTCAGCAGGTGTCATCATTCCTGTGGTTTGTTAAGAAGTTGAAACGCATCGAGCCAGTGCTTGCTATTTGAGGCGATGTGTACACAGTTCAAGACTTTATAAGGTTCACCTCCGAAAAGCCAAAGACAAAGGGGATTACGTGTAACAGGTACATTTCTACGTTTTTCAGCATCATCAAATTCCTAACGCGAGTCCTGAATTTCCCTCGGTCACTGATAGGTCGCTGGAGTAATTGCGCACCCTGCAAAGGCAACTGGACGGTGAACATAGACAGCAACGCCTATTCAAACATGCCACCAAGCCACTGGTCGACAGAAAGGTAATTTATCCAGAGATCTTGGAGCTCTGCCGAGAGCTCAAGTGGCAACTCAAGGGCCTGAGGGGCCTGGAACGAGCAAGGTGAGCAATGGACCTCAATCTTCTTCCAATCTATTGTGCCGCTAACCTGGGGCAGGCTGAGGAATTTTTCACTCTTGGCTTTTTTTTCCTGGTCAAAGTGCCGAGGAATGCCGAGATCAACATTTTACTTGTTTGGCAAGGACTGTTCTGTTGTCCTGGTATAGTGTGACTATGAGACCCATTATGCCGGCAGGCCCAACTGGACCAACTTGACCTAACTGCCCTTTCTGACACTATATAAACTTGTACCGTCAGAAATTCCGCTCTCACCTGCTTATGGGCAACGCGTACAACTTCTTTTCTCACTAAGAGCGGGACTCCATTTTCTGCATGGTCTCATTCCAAGTACATCAGCAGTCTTGGAGAAACGCTTTTCAGTAAAATTAACCACCAATGACCTTAGGAAATGCGTTGTCGATTATTTTCTTTCGCTGCCAGCGAGTGGCGACCAAGCCTTTCACAACTTCCTTCTCTCTTCCTTCTACACAGCCAGAGATTAGGTGCGAGATTAGGTATGCGCTTAAGGAAGGAGGACACATGTCGTGTGTTTATGACACATTACATCTCCTTCTTTCACATCTTACTGTATCAGTAATAAACTTATTTATCCTGTTGCACTCATTCAAGTGCTTCCTTATTCCTTAACTATTCCACTCTTTCTTCCCATCTTTCCTTTATCTGCTTTTCCTTTTATGAAAAGGCACCTACCACATCAAGTCACTGTGTTCCTTGCCCCGCTATCACCTTTCACTGAGTTTGGTTGAAAGAAAAATAAATGAAATGATCACGATTGTCCAACAATTTTGCATGTTCTTCAGTATTCCCGTTCAGTTCAAGGTTCACGTTTTTATTGCGAACCATGAACCATGGCCTGCATTCCTCAACCGCTCTCTACTACCATTGCCACCAACTTTATGTTTGTCACCATCTGCATAAGTTTTCTGTGAACTTTCAGTTCAAGCTTTTTTAATCCATTGCACCAAGCAAAAGCCTGGACACTCCCCAACATTCCCCTGACGACAAGTTCATTGAGTTCATCATCACAAGCCAGGACATCTTCATATTTTTCATTTACAGCAAGTTTTTGTTTTGTTATTTTCAATACTATCAAACAAAGTCATTTAAAAGCTTCCAAATTTATTTTCCTTCATTTTCACCAAACTGCAAAGTGTTCATACCTAAATCTCAGCCTAAGTTACATTTCAAACATATTTTTCAAATGTCGTCAATTCCTACCTCAAAGTTTTTAGTAAGATTCTTACAGAGTAAACACGGATGTACTAACATTAATCTTATCGTCTTTATTATCCTTTTTAGTACAACCGAACTTGTTTTGAACTTCGTGTTGCTTTTTTTTGTCTTTGTTTATTTCCATTTCCATTAATTGCTACTACATCTTCTGTGATAGGCATAGGGAAAGGGAAATACAGGAGTTGAAGCGGCAGCTGAATCCAACTGCCTACGCGATGGACCATGCCCATTGAAAATGGTCTCTCATGGTGAAGTGCGTGCAATTGCTGGAATGGATTCAGAAATTGGTTTAAGTCCAGAAAGTGGAAGAGGCAGAAGAGGAAGACAAAGGATGCAATTTTTCCTGTTAGGCTTTTTCTGTTTAAGTCGAGTTTTTGTATGACGTTATTGCAATTAGGTGTACACAGTTTTCTTATACATTTCTTATGATATTTCATTCCTTGGTAGGCCACTGCCAATATTGGCAGGAGGATTGCTCACGTGAATATAGGATACTGACAAAGTACTGGGATACCACGGGTAAGCACCACCTGATGGCCGCATGAAAGTCTGGCACCCAGCAAGAACTTAATATGACAGGAGGATTGCTCACGTGAATATGGGACACTGACGAAGTACTGGGATACTGTGGGTAAGCACCACCTGATGGCCGCATGAAAGTCTAGCACCCAGCAAGAATGAAATATGGCTTTAGCTTTTGAACACCTGTCTGCTATTGAACGGGGACAGGAGACCTATTACTCTACGCCCCGCCTGACATTTTACCCAGTGACACGAGTGCGTCCGGTGCAACAAAAGCATATTATTTGTGTGGCAACAATGACTTGACGCCAAGTGAAGGCATGGGCTGTGCTTCTCAATTTTCCCCAGTTCTAGTACGACAGGCCCTGAGACCGCCTAGGGGACTGCATGGCAATAACGCAACTGAATTATTAGTACTGTCTTTCCGACAAACTCAGGCACAACCCTAACAAAACAGGTTTCAAACGAGTAAACTTAAGTAATATTTACCCGATGTAAATCATTTGCAATATTTATTTCTAGGCCATTTGTGATCTGCCCTCAGATCGGTAACGGAAGTTTCATAAAAATAGCAGACACCAGTTCACTGTAGTTAAAAGCAACAAAACTGACCTGCAGTGAGAAATGATCATGTAGGACTTTAGTTTAGGTCCCTCCCAAGACATTGGATTGATTAGTTTCCATAGTATAAGGCAACAAGCACAAATATACTGTAACCTTCTATACCCACCCTCTCTGCGGACATGGCAAAATTGCATTTTTTGGACACTCTAGGCTTTGAATCCCTCAAAGATACTGTCTACAGGTGCACAAATGGGTACTGTCGCTATTTATTTGGGCATATTTTAAGTATTTTTCAGCGAAATGATTATGGGAAAACAAAGAGTCCCCAAAACTTGCAATGGACACCAAAAAATGGTACTTTACCCACTTAACGTGGAAGGAGTAAAGGCCTATTCGAACAGGTAACGAAGCCATTGGTCGACAGAAAGGTAGTTCATCCAGAGATCTTGGAGCTCTGCCGAGAGCTCAAGTGGCAACTCGAAGAGCTGAGGGGCCTGGAACGAGCAAGGTGGGTAATGGACCTCAGTCTTCTAATCTATTGCGCCGCTAACCTGGGGCGGGCTGAGGAATTTTTCACTCTTCGCATTTTTTCTGGTTAAAGTGCCGAGGAATGCCGAGATGAAAGTTTTTATTTGCTTTGGCTAGGGTGGTTCTGTTGTCCTGCTAGGGTGTGAATATACCTAATAATCTGCCCAGGGAAGTAACACATAATCTTAAGTGGACCCTCTCTTGGTACATTAATGAAAACAAGTGGTTACCGATCCATTTTCAGGAGAGTTTTGTTTTCAGTTTAGTTTTGCCTGTTAGTAATAGGTTGTCAATTGGACCACCGAACAAAAAAGAGATCCCCATCTTGCAAAAACAACGCATGACATTGGCATCCACTTTCACTTTTTTGAAGTGTGATGATGGCAAGTCATCAATGAAGTGGTCCTCTCTTGATGGTACATTTAACATCGGGAGTTTGAAACAAATGACATTGTGACAGGAACCTATAGAAGTGTAACCAAGCTCGATACGCCTGCATGTAGCGTTTCTATGCATTAGTTCATTTCCAGTAGCGGTGTTCACTAGTTAAGCAAGTAGGACATAGCTTTGTAGACTTCTACCCTCGCTGGAGCGGGTAAGTGTTTTCTTTTTGTTATTATCTGAGGACGTCCCTTCGAGGTTATCACGTTCACAAAATGTCCAGCAACAGCTTAACATTACTTTCCATTTGTACATTTCATCGTTCTTAGTTTTGTTGTTTTACAGCTGTTGGATTTAGCACTTTCGCTCTGAAATCATCTCGTTTAGTTTCTTAGCTGTTGTTATTCCTTGCTTACCTTTTGTTGTGTTTTCGTTTCTTGTTTCGTATCATACGACTCTGGACACGAGTCACATGGTATTTGTCACGCATGTTCTTCTTTCTGACCTAGCATGTTTAACCTTTTATATTTTAGTGTAGTTTTATTCTCCTAGTTGTATTGTTTAGCTGTCTTAGTAACTGTTAGTATCGTTGCTTTCTTTTAGTGCTGCTGCCCTTTTCATTGTTCTTCTCTTTTCCCTTTTCTTGTATTTCTAATATTCATTAACTGGCCATTAAATTTTCGTCTCTCTCTTTGATTCGCCATTTGCTACCTCCCTTACTCGCCCAGCTCAGTGACATTTTAGTACCAGGTGTGGGGTAGCGAATATTATTTGGCATCCAAAATCTAAGAAATCAATAAAGCACCAAACTAGAAAAGGGTAATAGAGGTCATGTCCCAAATGGAAGGCGAGGCAGAGGAACTCAACAAGAAGCTGCAGACATTACAGCAGCAACACAACCAAGCATATGAATTCTTGAAAAACCTCCAAGCCAAGGAATCCGCTGGAGCCCCAACCCCACCCCGTCCCCAAGAAAAGCAGTTAATGGTGACCCCCAATGAACAAAACTTACGGAAGTTTAGTGGAAAACATGGAGATCATGAACTGTCCAAAGAGGATTTCATTAAAAATGCGAAAAGCGCAATCACCTCAAGAGGACTTCCCTCTCCCAGCAGGCAAATTCTATACTCCCATACATTGAGGGACATGCTAAAGAAGAAATGAAACTTTACCCTAAAAGTGACCTTAAAAATAGGGACAGGATCTTTGACTTCCTTCAAGAGTCTTTAGGCGAGAAGCGTTTTGTTCCCAGCTCGTTAAAGGCTTTTGACCGCTGACCGAGGGAAGGAGATACCCTTCGAGCATTCTCCCATGCCCTGAGAGAACTGCAAGCAAAACAAAAGTATGAGCAAATTAAGCGACAAAGATGCAGCTCTCCCAATTCACCTTGCTGAGAACATAAGAGATCCTCTGCTGCGCAAGGAACTCAAGAAAATCATTAGACCACTCCCAGAAGTTTCCTTTCTGGATACCAGGAAGCTATTTGCTGGGCCGAAGAAGACGAGAAGTCCTGTTGACTGTGCCCCAGACAGGCTTCATCGCATAGAATCAGTACTTCCACTAAGCCCTCTTTCCTAGAATCAGCCATGAGATGATTAAAACCCTGTTAGGTCAGAAAAAGGCTACTGAAGATCTGGCAGCCAAGTTGAATACAGTACCCACTTACAGAAGACAAAATGTACAGCCTCAGCTCCAGCTTCAGCAGCGACAGCCTAGAATTAATGTAGATGGTGACAGTGTTATCAATGTGGAGCATCAGGAGACTGCCCGAAACTGCAGTGCAAGAAGTAGACCGCCACCCCTCCAGAACCTCAACCAGGCCTCCACCTAACCTGTCAAACTAAAACTAACCCCCTGCTGCTGAGTCAGGCAACAGAACATTGATTTACATACATACTTAGCAATATATCGCTATAGGTGATGCAAACGGTAATTCCATTACATTTACTGTAAAATAACATTCGTTACACACAGATTGTAGGGGCACCCTGTAGTCCAATACACTTTAAGCTGCAGGAAAAGCTATGACTTCAGAGGATTTGTGGGCAAAATCGATGTTAGGATCCAAGTGGAATGATCATAGCTGTAGACACTGGCTACTGAGGATAGTAGCCTGGTGAAGATTCAATTGTTGTTATCGAGCCCCTAATCATGGTAATCATGAGCACCCTTTTATCAGTCAGTCACAGACGTGGTGAAGTACGAGTTGCTGACATAGCACAAGGAGGACGTGGAAGGACTCCCACACATTGATGCTGGCTCTAAGAGTTTAACCCTGGAGATGATAGCTACATGGTGCCTCAAACATTCCACCATAACACCGGACAGTGGGCCAAAACTTCCAAGTGTTACGTTTCGTAAGGTGATCTTTTTAGAAAAAGGGGAAAAGGCAGGAGGATAAGAAAAAAAACATGAACTGATAATAGTCTCAATCATTATTGTAAGATTGGCATTACCAGAATTCGGGTCACCAATCATATTTCCTGTATTATCTGCAACTCCATTCTTTTGCTAAAAGAAAATGTCTGACTTCTTGGGCAATCAAAATCGGCAGAAAATGGATGCCGAACTCCAAATTACTAGCCCTCATAAAAACTTCAAGAACTGGAAGGATGTCGATGAAACTAAACTAGCCTTGGCAATTGAAATTCCATATTTTTTGTTGACGAATGGCATGGGAAAGTCTCTGGCAAAACCGATTCTGCAGCCACTGTCCCAGACAAACTTTACCTACAATGTGTGATGAGTTGCCCAAATCATATTTAATAACACAGAAACTAAGCCAACTCAACAACATTTGCACACTTGAAAATGTACCTGGACACCACCGAGGTGCTCAAATATCATTCAGACATTAAGATCTCACATTAAAGACCTTCAGAAAAAGGATCCCTCATTTGGTATAAATAAGCCTGTTAAGATCAAGATCAGTGGTGATGGGGCGAAAATGTCAAGGAGCACAAACTTCCTGATTCTGTCTTTTTGCCTCCTCCAAACAGGCGAGAAAGTCATGTTGTTAAAAGGAAACAGAACAACTGCTATTGTCAATGGCCCAGAAAAATACGACACCCTTGAACACTCTTTCTCATTAGTCATCAATGACAACAATTGTGAAACTGTGCCCCTTGGAGCACTGTTGAACTTTGAATGACGCTACCAAAAGGAAATGCAGTGTGTTTAAGTCACGGACTTTTCACTGTAAACATTATATTTTATCTTAGGTTTTGTTGATATTTCATATCAAGAAAGGGAGGATGTTGCGAAGAACCTTAATGGTTGTCCTGTGGCACTGTGCATGCGCATTTTCACTGATTTGCTCAAGAGCACAAGGTTTTTGTATTTTGTACCAGTTCAGCGCAACTTTGTACACAAGCTAGATGAGATGAAATTGTTGATGTTCTTATGAATCTTCTGGACTAATGACTGACCAGTAATCCTGGCAAACAGGCAGCTAGAGGCTACCACTAACGCACGTGACCAAGCCCTCCAGTGATGGCAACATTCCGTAGCAGAGCCACACTTGATGCAGTGGGGCCTTTTCAGGTTGCAGAAAGCTATTTTGTTTTAGACCGTTTAGTTGTCAGACATAGACCGAGTATACTTATTTGACCACTCGAGCAACCTAAACTGACATCACAGGATTGCAAATTGCCCCACAGCAGATTTACCATTAATTGTCCAGGAAGTCCAACAAAACCAGCAGCAGTATTCAGAAGTGGCCATGTATTTTTCTGCTCATTTATGGCTGCAATGGGAAACCAGAGTCACAGCAACTGTACACAAGACACCAAACAAGAGAAACGGCCAAAATTGTGTCACTACTGCAGCCTATGGTGGTGAAATAAGTAAAAACTGAGTCACCTGTCCACTGCATGTTCAAAATTACGTTGTTTTCAGGACCGTAATTATGCTGTCAGTTCTTCTCCCCTTCTCTCCTTTTTATTAAAACTAACTTAAAAGAGTATTAGCGGCTAACTCAAAAACCTCACAGTTTCTTTAGACTCCAAATAATTAATTACTGTTCCTTGCTATCCCATTGTAAATTTGTAATGTGCATATATAACACGTTTCTTGTAATGATTGTGAGAGTGAGTCAATAAAATACTGTTGTTGTTGTCCCGGGCAATAAGACAATGTAAGTTTTCTCATAGAATCATGTCTGGCTTTCAGAGCTTTAGAGCACTGGACTCAAATGAATTTTTCCTAGAGCACAGCCTTGACAGACTAGGATTACTTTGATATATGTGGTGGTTTCTTTGTCTTCACAGAGTCAACTGCAGAGTGCATTGAGGGAAAGCAGTCTACAGCCACTTTACAGACGATGAAACTGAGGACCACAAAGAAGAACATCTTAATAAGCTCTCTTTCTTTACTCTCCTTGGAAAGAAGAAGCACAGGATGTTCTAGTTCGATGGAAAAATAGCAGTCTGGATGAGTCAGTGTGATACAATTTTATCCCCACAAAATTAATTCTTACATTTGTTATATTGGTTTTGTTTTTCACAATATGCAATGGACCTTTTTATTGGACCAATTTGCTAGGTGTTATATTGGTTTTTTTCTGGCTATTTTGCCTCTTTTCTGGGCATTTAGCCACTTAAGGTTCTGACAATGGCAGCTGGAGGCTACCACTAACGCTCGTGATCAAGCCCTCCGGTGATGGCAACATCCGGTAGCAGAGCTACACTTGCTGCAGTGGCTCCTATTAAAATCACTTTTTGGGGCCACTCCAGGTTGCAGAAAGCTAGGAATAAAAAATCCGATGGTTTGTTTACCAGTGAAGACCTCTTATCAGAAACTGGCTAAGTGTGAAAGGAGGTAAAAGGCAAAGTTTAGAGACCACATGACAGAAGAGAAACAAAAACTAAGACAGAAAAGAAAACATGATCTGCATTACGGCTTTACAGTATACCCATCCCTATTCAATAATTGTAAAATATTATATAAAAAATATGAAAGAAAAAACAAATCAGCTTGGAATATGGTAACAGCAAAATTTCTCAGCCTTTAAAAAGTGGCAATATGACCACTAATAAGAAGCTAATTGCAAGAGAGTTTTGAAATAAGACTGTGTAGGGAATGTCCAAAAATGACAAAAGCAATAAGAGATGTCCAGCAACAAAATGGAATATACTTGCACAACTTCCCCTGATACTAACAATGCAGCAAGCCTCCATCAGTTTAACAGAAATGTACGGCCTGTGCTACATGTACTGTAACCAGACTGGAAAACAATGAGAGAAGAAGTGCAAAACAATGCCTGCAACAACAACTCCACCTGTATATGTACTCCGCCATCTTCGTGCGATGAAGGAACATATTGTCAAGTATATTCAATGCTCTACAACATAGTTGAAGTATGCTTGTCAACGCCAGTATCAAATGTTTGACCAGAATAAGGAGTGAGTGAGTTTTACAACTTGATTGTCACACGCAGTTAATGGAGCATGATGCCCTCAATCAGCAATTACCAGATTCAAAAGTGTTTTAAACATTATGTGTTTCTCTTTCAGCCTGTAACTAAGGAACTTTCAGAAGAAGTAGATGAGTAAGTCAGCGTACATCTTACCTGTTACGCTGCACTACTTTTGTTCTATTTTTGCTGTTTTCCTTTCCCTGGCTTTAGGGCACAACCCACAGCCTAGCACTACCAACACTCTTCACCATCGACTGGAGCAAATTTCCACAACAAAATTCTCTGGGATTGGTGAGAGCAATGATGTTTTCTTGGTTGCTCCCCTCTCCAATCTGACCAAAGAGATTGGACTGGGTCACCTACCAGGCCACTCTTGACCTCCCCGGCTTCCCAATATCTAATGTTACCCAGTGGGGTAATATCTAAGAGGCACTCTAACGAATGGATTACTATTTATCACTTATTCTATTCTGGAAGTGATAGTGTTAATGGCCACATACCCAAGAAACCCTTCACTACCCCTTGTATACAGGCCACTGCAACTTATTGCCAATCACGAGTTGGCAAGTTTATGCATAGTACTAACATAAATATTGTCATTATTGCTATACGATCTAGTTTGCATGTATTGTGGACTGTCATCATTTCCCACAATTTCGTTAGGACAGTTTTTTTTGTAGAGAGGTTGCATTCGTCACGTTGTCATCACTTCTGATCTTTTTACCAATATAATAATAGAGGGAGCCTCTACTGAATCAAAACAGTGCATTTTGTAAAGTTTACTTGGTATTCATGAGTAGTCAGGAAATTATTAATTTAACATAGTTTTGGGCATTTGTGCATTATTGGAGTTTATTATAAGGCACAATGTTAGTGTGACTGTGCTGGGCTTTACTTGACCACAGTATTTATTATTATTATCATACTTTTTCTCTTTTTTCTAATTTTTGATTTTGTTATGCACACTTAAGATATNAATAGAGGGAGCCTCTACTGAATCAAAACAGTGCATTTTGTAAAGTTTACTTGGTATTCATGAGTAGTCAGGAAATTATTAATTTAACATAGTTTTGGGCATTTGTGCATTATTGGAGTTTATTATAAGGCACAATGTTAGTGTGACTGTGCTGGGCTTTACTTGACCACAGTATTTATTATTATTATCATACTTTTTCTCTTTTTTCTAATTTTTGATTTTGTTATGCACACTTAAGATATCCATGCATTAATTAAAAAAAACAAATAAAATAAATACAGATTACATCACAAAATTAATGCATACTATAGACTTAATTTTTAAATGTAAATATAAGTTCCTTGCTTTTGTATTATGTATATTGTTTCTAATCTTGCAATACATTATGTGTGCATTGGTTCACATTGGTCGTTTTGTATCAATTAAGTGAATCTATGTGCAGTATAAAAAGGTAAAAGAGCACACAAAAGAAAATATTTCCAACTCAATTACTTTCTAGAAGCAGCAGCCCAGAGGAAAAAAACAACACCAAACACAGAGCAGTCACAAAAATTCCTCATAAATCAGTTTCAGGATGCCATCCAGAAAAAAAAAAGACATGTGTGAAGACATATTCACCACCAAAAGAGGAACAAAATGACCATCAAACAGTGGATGAAGCAAATGCGGTACAAGAAATAGAATTCACAGACTAAAGCAAAGCAGTTGACACATGAAAGGAAAGTATTGCACGATGAGGAGACTGATACAAAAGCTGTTTCCACTGGAAGTGAACAAGGGAAAAATACTGGGAAATGAGCCAACTAGAAATTGCCTTGCAGATCTCAGTACCACCAAGACAAGCAGCAGCAGTTAATGTAGATATCGTCAGGAGAATCACTGACTGACAGTGAGCACTGTGCATAGGGGGGAGGAGTGTAAAGAAATAAACTTAAGTCTAGACATACTGTATTGAACATTGAAGAATACCTATTTTTAAGCGAATAAAGCCTTTAAGATTGAAAAGGAATACAAACACCTTTTATATAGAACTGGATGTTTGCTCTTAGAAGAGCTAAACTAGAGATAAGTAGTATCCCTTTGTCAGAAGTGGACCTCTCCTTTCAGTGTCACTGTTTACCAACACAACAACCCCCATTCCACTCTGAAACACATTATCATAAATGTGAAGACTTTTATTGGTTGGTATCTTTCTTTATTACAGGCTCAAAATCTTACCGCTTCAAATTTGCTAATCTTATCTCCAAAAGTGATCTGAAAATACACTCTTGCATTAGTCTTATATGATTCGGAAATATTACTTCTCTTTGGCTGTATCCATAATGACAGGCTTTCAAAAAGTAGATCAGGCGTTTCATTTATTTCCTACATGGATTTTTATTTATGTTATTGGATCAAAAATGTACAAAGAGAATATGAAAACATCATTTCATACTTGCCACTTCTTGCAAGCAGCCCTCAAGACTCTGATCTCATGCATTATCAATGGGAAACTGCAATCTGTTGTAGCCAGCAGCCGGCGTGCAAGATGGCCGCCACATTTTGTACTCGTCAGGTACTACTCAATCTTCGTGAAACTTCAGGTCTCAATATTTTATTTCACCTCTCATCTAAAATAGATCTTTGTTTGTTATATTAACTGTGGTTGCGTTGCACTCCTTCGTTATGTGTGTCTGTGTTTGTTTTTGCTATGTGTGATTGCAACACTTACTTTATGTAATCATGCTGTCACGTACCGACTTCAGATGATGTTAATTTACTGTAAAGAACATGACTGTCTGGTCTTTTTAGCCCCATGGTTATTCAAGACAGTCAGTACCAAAAACTATTATTAGTTAGTTATAATCTTATTCTAATTCTGTTTTTTACCATTGGTACAATAAATTGTTGTTTTTGTTGTTGTTGTTCCAGCCCCTAGGCATTCCTACTCTGCAGCCTTCGCAATCCACAACTCCATTCACAGCCCATCGACAACAACTCACGGACCCTCCATCGTCGCAAGCCTATTTTCACCACCACTTGGACTGAGCTTTTCACAAGTTCAGCAACCTTCATCTTCCCTTGCAACACACGTTTCGCAGAAGCCTAAGCCGCCTATTATACGCAGTGAGTTTGCAAAATTTGATTCTCTGTTGCAGCTGTGATGCGAGTCTGGCAACCATGATAGAACTCCTATTTGGTCAGAAGACAAGCTAGAAGGGGAAGAAGCAGAGGTACAGGAAGAGAAACAAGACCAGCAAGACCTGGTCCATCAAGACGCTATCACAACCCAGTTGGGCCATACATTGACTAGTCAAATGTGTGTATTCCAAGCACAGATACCTGAGTTTGGTGAGCCACAGCCAGGTCCAACACAAATTGACAATTGACTGATTGACAGCCGTCACAAAGGGTATCTGCTGACCAGTGTCACCTGACTGTGTGGTTTGCTGAAGTGTACAACTCATTGAGGTTACATGTTGTTTAAAAGTTATCTGCTAACCAGTTGTTGGCTCACGTGTTCTGGTTCACATAAAATAAATAACTTATTAACCTCGTTTGCTTGATCATTCCAAGGAAATCTTAGACCTCGGCCTGACATTTTCCTGTAATGACCTCACTCTCAGTTAATAAGACAGTAGTAAGTACCTGAAGAACAAAAAAATTGAGATTTTGGGCTAGGATTAGAATATTTTGGTTCTGTTTGTAGTGTTTTATTCCCTCATAAAATAATGACTGTTGAAAACAAATGTNCAGCCCATCGACAACAACTCACGGACCCTCCATCGTCGCAAGCCTATTTTCACCACCACTTGGACTGAGCTTTTCACAAGTTCAGCAACCTTCATCTTCCCTTGCAACACACGTTTCGCAGAAGCCTAAGCCGCCTATTATACGCAGTGAGTTTGCAAAATTTGATTCTCTGTTGCAGCTGTGATGCGAGTCTGGCAACCATGATAGAACTCCTATTTGGTCAGAAGACAAGCTAGAAGGGGAAGAAGCAGAGGTACAGGAAGAGAAACAAGACCAGCAAGACCTGGTCCATCAAGACGCTATCACAACCCAGTTGGGCCATACATTGACTAGTCAAATGTGTGTATTCCAAGCACAGATACCTGAGTTTGGTGAGCCACAGCCAGGTCCAACACAAATTGACAATTGACTGATTGACAGCCGTCACAAAGGGTATCTGCTGACCAGTGTCACCTGACTGTGTGGTTTGCTGAAGTGTACAACTCATTGAGGTTACATGTTGTTTAAAAGTTATCTGCTAACCAGTTGTTGGCTCACGTGTTCTGGTTCACATAAAATAAATAACTTATTAACCTCGTTTGCTTGATCATTCCAAGGAAATCTTAGACCTCGGCCTGACATTTTCCTGTAATGACCTCACTCTCAGTTAATAAGACAGTAGTAAGTACCTGAAGAACAAAAAAATTGAGATTTTGGGCTAGGATTAGAATATTTTGGTTCTGTTTGTAGTGTTTTATTCCCTCATAAAATAATGACTGTTGAAAACAAATGTATTGTTTTACTCAGATAACAATACCATAACTCAGGCTTCGTTAAGAAAACTATTGTTTTGCTGAGGGCAACACAGAACAACAAAATCAACATGGCTTGTGCCCTCTGCTTTAAAGCTTTACAATGATATATAGTTTATGGGAGGGTAACTTCAATATTCGTTTAAGTTGTCATTAGTACGAGTGATTAAGTTTTGCAATTCAAAAAAAGTCTGAAAAATCTTCCAGTTAAAAGGGTTAAAAAATGAACATTGTCATTTACCATGAACAGCGTCTTGGTCAATGGCGAGACGTAAACGAAGACGAGATGAAGGCTTATCTTGGCGTTTGTGTCATAATTGGGATAAATAATTTGCCCAAACTCGCCGACTACTGGTCATCAGATATTTTCATTGGCAACAATGGAATAAAGCAAACCATGACAAAAAATAGGTTTGAAGAAATGAGCCAGTTTTTCCATCCAAATAATTCAAGCGAAGAACCTGCACATGATGAGGAAAATTTTGATAGGTTGTACAAATGTCGTCCCGCTCTTACCTCAATATTGAGAAATGCTCAGCGCTGCTATTCCCCAAAGAAAAACATTTCCATTGATGAGGGAATTATAGCATTTAAAGGGCAGGGTTCGAAATTAACGGGCGTCCAGTCGTCAGAGACAACCAAAATCTGACCCTGACGACCAAATCTCTGAACATAGTTGTCCCTTGGACGACTAGAATTTAGCTGTCCATTAACAGAAACTGTCCGCTAACTTAAGATATGAACAATTATCATTATAATGGAAAATTATAATCCTAAGTCAGTATTTCTACTTGATAAATGTTAAACTAAGTCTTTAAAAATTATCACTTCTTTTCCTTTTCTTTACACTTCATACGTTCATAGCGTACGTGTACGGAGTAATTGTCCGCCATCTTGTTTTGTGTTTACCGCTGCGCAGTAGGACTAACACCCAAGCTCCAAGAAAATTCCCGGATGTACATGCCATGTGCTTCTTTTAAAATCATGGCGGACTCACTAAAACAGAACAGTTTGTTGTGGTATTTATGCACATCAGACAACGAGAAAGAAGTTCAAAGGAAACGAAAGGAACTATCTAAGGCATTTTCTGAAAAAGAGACTGAAGAACTTTCAGCAAGCAAGAAAACTCGAGCAGAGGCAGAATTGTCTAAACCTAAACAAAACGCCCGGTCAATGCGAACATTTCAAACGCAATGGAAGAAAGGTCGTCAATGGCTTAACTATTCCGTAGGTACAAACTCTATGAAATGCTTATCTTGGCCCCCATCAAAGGCAAATTAACTCCATTGTACATTTTGATGATGACGATGATGATGATAGCCAGGAGGGGTGAAAGACTTAGAGTGTAATTTGAACCAATTGACAGCAGCGAGATCACACAACCTTATCTGTGGGAAATTGCATTTTATTTACCTCTAGATTTAAAAGTTATTAAACCATGCCATGTATTAGTCACTGACAGGCTTTTTCTAATGTATATTACAAGTTTTTAGTCCCTTAGTTAATGTGACGCCTAGATTTCACCTTGGACGCCTAGAAGTGAAAAAATGGTTGCCCATGGGGCAACCTAGTTCAAAAGTTAATTTCGAACCCTGATACAGAGTAAATTTATAACAGGATTGTATAATGTAATTTATTTGCTTAGTTTAAATTGTATTGTAGTAACTTGTAATGTAATTTGTTAGTTTGTCCCTGCACTCACCCAGCAGAAAAGGCTGTAAATTTGAATTTCTTAAATACATAAAGTTGTTGAGCACTGTTACTTTAGACAGCATAGTTATATTTGTGCAATTATGTTTTCCTTTGAAACAACAATATCTCAACCTCAATTTTAACTTACTAGCTATGTCTACAAGGACTCCAAATTCTACTGAACATGCATGTTTTGGTTTTTGGTCAAAATTTTGAGCGAGTGCCCTAATTAGCCCCAGGAATAGGAGGCATTCAGGCTCTGAAGGCCCCCAGCAGTGAAAGGGTTAATACTGTTGGTGCCAGGAAACCAAACCAGGGTCCGAAATTGCGACCAGCTGGTCGCCAATGCGACTGAAAATTTAGCGTTGGCGACCAGAATTTCAAGGCCAGTCGCCAGCAGGCGACTAACTTTTAGCATTGTGTCATTATTTTGAACCACTGCTCAAGGAATTAAATCGAAAAATTTCACGTTTGATTTC